ACACAAGTGAAGAATACACTCCAAAGCAGCAGTCTGATGGCTCCATATATCAGTTCCAAATTGAAAGCTGAAGTGAACAAAATTCAAACAGGGAATAAGATGCACATTGTTAAGAGTGAGAGTAATTGACTATTGGAACAGTTTCTCAAGCGACATGGTGGCTTCTCCATCACTTGGAGTCAGTCTGAGAGATCCAGTATGGATACACAGATGCTCTAGTTCAACTACAAGTTACTGGGCTCAGTGCAGGAAAGAGGGTGAAATTCTACAGCCTATGTTACAGAATCATAGAAACGTCAGGCTAGAAGGGACATTGAGAGGTCATCAAGTCCAGCCCCCTGCACTGAGGCAGTATCAGGTAAACCTAGACCATCCCTGACAGGTGTTTGTCCAACCTGTTCTTAAAAACCTCCAGTGAAGGGATTCCAGTTCTCTCGGAAGCCTTAACTACACTTAAGAGTTAGAAAGTTTCCCCTAATTCTACCCTAAATCTCCCTTGCTGCAAATTAAGCCCATTACTTCTTGATCTACCTTCAACGGAGATGGAGAACACCAGATTCCCCATTCTCTTTATAACAGCCCTTAACATATTTGAAGACGTATCAGATCCCCCCTCAGTCTTCTTTTCTCAAGACTAAACATGCCCAGATTTTTTTTTTTAAGAGTAACAGCCGTGTTTTGTTCCCGCAAAAAGAACAGGAGTACTTGTGGCACCTTAGAGACTAACACTTTTATTTGAGCATGAGCTTTCGTGTGCTACAGCCACTGTTCTTTTTGCAGATTTTTTTTAGTCTTTCCTTCTAGGCTAGCTTTTCTAAATCGTTTAGCATTTTTGTTATTCGGGAGGTCAGTCTAGATCAGTGATACTCAGACCTCATTGGTCCAGGAGCCAAATTGGCCATCAACAGTACCCAACAGAGCCACAGTAGTGTGAATTCATTGTTTCATTTGAGTATGTTTTATTATTTTTATATATGATTCTCAAAGCAAAATGACTGACCAAGTATTATTTTATCAACTACAATTGGTTAATAACATAGGAAAAGTATCCTGATTGGTTAATAACTTGCATTTAATTATTAACCAATCACACGGTATTTTAATATCATGTGCCGCAGAGGCTCCCAAGCCTCACTCTACGCATCACTGGTCTAGATTATTATACTGGTCCCTTCTAGCCTTAAAAAATTGACAGCCAAGATTTTCTCAAGTGAGTAGCGATTTGGGGGCACTTCTATTTCCGGGTTCTCAATTTGAGATGCCTGAAAGGAGCCCTGATTTTCAGGGAGATGGGGAGAGGGTTCTGCACTTTCTGAAAATTAGGGCTCTTTTTAAGGCGGCTAAGGTGAGGCTCCCCAAAAATGGAGGCACCCCACATTACTAGTCACGTTTGATTTCTGTATTACAACTGTGGTGCAACATTTAATGAAGACTGTGTTTCTTTTGCAGTGGGATTTAGATCTTGGGCCTGGTCTCCATTTAAAACTTCGGTCAACTGATCTAGGTTTTACGTGTAGATGCAGGTAGGTGGATGGAAGAATATTTCCATGGACCACTGCTCAGGGAGGTGGCACTCCTACGCCGACGGAAAACCCCCTGCCGTGGCTTGAGGTTGTGTCTATACTAGGGAGGCTATAGTGGCATAGCTATGATGGTGTTACAGCCCCCTAGTGTGGACATGACCTTGGTCATAAAAAGGTCTCACGATATAGCCCGCTTCCCCACCAGGGAGTCATTAATTACAGACCAAACATAGGCTCATTCTCTGCCCCTACCTCCAATAACTTTACCCTCCGAATTAGCTGTAGGATGGATCAATTAATCATCCTTCCATTATCCCACCCCTTCCAACACACATATACCACGCAGTCCACGTGCCCCCTTTCACCAAATTTCCTTTGCATTCAGTGTGTTAGAACTGCCATTATCTAAACAGCTTGTGGATAAGCTCAGTCAGGCTTTCTCCTTTCCCTTTTAAATTATTCAATGGCAATGCTTCAAGCAAACAAACGTCTGTCTCCTTCTTGAACAGCTGCTTCCGGAGGCCTGTGAAATTCACCAACGAGCAGGGGGAGGAATGGAGAACTACATGGTCAGGATGACCCAAACAATTCACACTAGTAATACCGCTATGGAATTAGGTGAGCCAGAGCGCCATTCTGCTCTCAGTTACAGCAGGGCAAAACTAATCATTCAACCGAAGTCAGCAGAGTTAGCCCCGCTTTTCATCCCTGTATCTAAGGATACAATTTGGCCTTTCGTTGCCACAAGATGGACCAATTCTACTCAGCTCGCTCGCACAACACAGATCATTTAAACCCTTCGACCTTTCATGACACCTATGTGAGGATGCAGGCACACTGCAGCACTTAAAAAAACCACTGAAGACACAGAAGTGGGTGGAACAATCCAAGCAGATTTCTGTAAATAACGAAGCATTGACAGGTAGATTTGCAGTCAAGGTGAAATGGGAAGCAAAACATTTTGAAGTGCCTGCGTGCCTTTGACAAACACTCAGCAGCAGAGATGCAATTATCCCCCCTTCAGCAAATACTCCCAGTCAAAACCAACAAGTGCTGTTGCCCACACAACCCCTACAGTGAACAGTCATACCGTAAGAGCAGCACTGGTGCCCCTTATAGACTTCTCCTGTGACAACTGACAGAGATTAATTGCAGATTCTAAACAGCCAGATATACAGAAGAGCTCACCTCCCATGTAAGCACCGAAATAAGTGGCCAGGCGTTCAGTAGGACGACTTTGTGCGTTGGGTGCCAAACATTTTGAAAATCTGGCCTCCGAAGTCTGGCCTAGTCAGATCCCCAGTCAAGGGGAGTCGAGTCTTAACTGAAAACACTTAGCGCATCGCTTGTGACACATCCACGTGGCAGCTGATTGGGCAAAAAAACATGGGTGACTGGTCTGTGAAATCAGAACTGAACCAGGAAAACACACACACTAAAAGAATACGCCACAATATTGACATTAAGCCGCGTGAGCATCGGAAATCCACCCCGCCCAACTGAACAGCCACCATGATCAAGGTGCAGAATTAGAGCTGCTGTGCAAACATAGGGTTTAAGTTCTAGGGGACTGTGAAGTAGCAAACAATGTCGGGAAGTGCCAGTAATAGAAGATGAGAAAGATTGGAGAAAATATTACGATACCATCTGGTTAGGTTGCAAGAGGTGAAACAACATCAGTCTGCCTGGCTGGGGATTCATTTCTTATTTTAAAATCAGAGCTTGATTTCAACGGAATACCCAACAATTTTCAGTGATTGAGGGTTTCAGGAATCAGAGTCTGAATATCAAGTCTAGAGGGTGTGTAGTTGGCAGTGAGATGTATTTGCAGGTGATTATGCTTTAGCATACAGCACCATCAAGTGAGAGATTAGATCCCACCACGCAACGGGAGACTCAGAGATGCTTTTGCAAAAGCCAAACCTAGCCTCCTGTGGCAGATATTAGTCACGTCCCTTAATGCATGACTGGAAGGCACTCGGATGAGACAGTGACGATGAGGGCGGTCTAAGAACGCAGAGAATAGAACAGAATAGACTCCACGGCATGAATTTCCTGATGCTTCCTCCCACCACCAATATACTTTTAGATTGCAAAAAGGGCAGGTGGTACGTTTATACAATGCCTAGAACTGGGTCCCAATCTAGCTGGACCCTAGGCGTTAGCACAATAAAACAGTTAAAATAATAATATACCAAATGTTTGCCTCCTGTGCTATCTCCCAGAAAGGACGTTTATTCATTAAAGGCCCTCATAGGCCATATGAATCACTCATAGAAACCCTCCTGTATCCCAGCCGTTCTCCCCCCACCAATTTAAGCCCCGACCACACTAGAATAAGAACCACTCGCAGTGCCAATCGCATTTCCCTCAGCAGCGGCACAGGGGCTGTGTGTCTGAGACCCAGTCCGCACACACTTGTCCCTTATGGAGTTCTTCGCTTTAAGGGCCTAACACGGCTCTTGAGTGTGCACATAATCCTCGCTAGCCAGGGAAGGGGTGTCCCAATCCTGCTAACAACTCCCACTAGTGCTGCAGCTTCAGCTTCTCGGGAGAGGCTCTAAAAGGGGACTTTGCAGCTCCCGGTTCCCCATCTCGAGGCCTGCTGCAGGCTCCCATTGACTTCAGTATGCTTCAGATCAGCCCTGTTTATAGCCAGGAAGATAAACCATCCTCACCCAGCGGGAGATCCCTCGCGGCGACGGTGCCGAACAATTCAATGCACATTACGGGCAGTGCGCTAGACTGAGCTGTTCCAACGAGGGGCCGTCGGCTTCAGTGCCTCAAATCTCGACTCAGCGCACTCTGCAATGGTATTCCAGAGCCAGGCTTAACAACAGCGTCTGCTAGGATTGTTCCACTGGGCCGTGACCAGGGCGCAGCTTTCTAACCAACACAGTCAAGACCAAAGTATCAAATGCCCGAGCGCCATTCTCACCAGCGACCTAGGTGCCTCAGAGCTGAAGTCCTGCTGACTTTCAATAGGATAGGTCCAGATTTTCAAAAGTGACTAGTAATTCCAGGTGTCTCAATTGCGGGGAGTGCCACACGCGACTCCTGGAGGGGGCCCAATTTTCAGAAAGTGCTACGGACCGACTCTCTGAAAAATCAGGCGCCTTTAGGGTGCCTTCAAGTTGGCCACCCAAAGCCACTAGCGACCCTGCAAAACCTTAACCATGAGATCCCAGGTTGCTTTGGAAAACAAGATTTAGGTGCTTTTATAATTTTACCCTAAGTCTGGTACTTTGCAATTCAGAATATAGGTCAGTTTCCAAAACCCAGAGTCTTTCCCCTGATTTCCAACGGTCCTGGATTAAGCCCTTAACATAAAGAACACCTTTAAGCTAGACCCTATGTTCTTTAATAAAGAAGTCGCAACACTCCTGTCTAATTTTGTCTCCGGTTATCCTTTTGGTACTTTTCAAAATCCCTCATCCACCCCTGGAAGCCCCCCAGCAATCCTCTCAACATTTGATCTTCTTTAGAAAGGCCTTTATTTGACTTTATAGCAAACGAAACACTAGTTTAAATCAAGTGTACCTGGTACACTGTTACAGCAATGAAGTGGCAACAATTTTAGACGCGACCTACCCTCTCCTTTCCTCCTTCCTCCGGGCTGATCCACTGATTTAACACTGCCACAGGTGGGTTAGTGGGCATTCTACGCTCAAACATGATTTGGACGATAAAAACAAGAGCTAAACATGGATGAAATGTTACAGAAGTGAAAAATAAAAAAAAGAGAGATTCTCTTAATGTTATCGGTCTAGGAGAATTAAGATTTCATGTTAAACACTGAAGAATCAGCCATTAAAACAGTTATGCACAGTTAAGTCTGTTTACCTGAAGGATGCCTTAAAGTGGTCCATATGATACAAGTCAGTTAAGGATCCTACATGAATTACTGTCCAGATGGGTTTAAAAAAAAAAAAAATTCCAAACAACCCGTTTTGGACAAACCCGGGAACATCGGCACATGGATAAAGACTAGAAAAATCAGGTCATGAGACAAAAATGTTCTGTGCATGCCTGCTCCCCAGAATTCTGGATGTCTCTGCATCTCCCGGCCCAAAATCACCCCCCACAAGAAAGCCTTGGGCAAGACATTTTGATCCAAAGAGATTCTTCATCCCCTTTTATCTTATAAATTCTCACTCCCACCCCCATAAGTAACCTAGAACACTGTGTATATTTCACTTGAATTCAAGAGAAGAGGTAAACACTAATGGAGTCAATTTCACCCACTCTGTTTTAGGGGAGCAAAATGGGGTGAGGGAGATGTGTCAAAATCCTCGCTTGCATCCCTTAGCAGCTGCTCCCATCTGATCAAATATGTTACCAAGAGGGAGTATTCCCCCCGGCCCCATACCTCTCCATGGCATTTTATCTAGGAACACTGAGGGTGAGCGGGGGGGGAATTCCATCTCAACGTTGAACACTGCATGACAGCGCTCAGGACGCCAGTGAGCCTGTAGAGATGGAAATGCTCCCTTCCTCACACACTTTGAAAGAACCACGTTAATTAAGGTTTCACAAGTATAAAAATCAAATCAATCACTCAAAGACTCAATTCAGGACTAAAGAGGCAATTCTGATGGAGATGTGATTCGCTCGGAGATGCTAGTTTAAGTTTTGGAAAGGGACAGTACTCGTTGCAGTAATATCACGGGTTGGGTTCCCTCCCCTATATTTCCTGCTACTCTTTTTTTGTTGGTTTTAATTATAATACAATTTACAACTGTAGTAAGAATACTACGGCCAAAGCCCCCGGGAAGCCCTCAAGCTTCAGAAAGTCCATCGATCGTGTAATTGGCTTTCGCTGCTAAAGCTGTTACTTGCTGAGGCCTCCGAGTTCTGTGTTTGCCGAGTGGAATCTTCGCCGTTTAAGCTCTTCCTGCAGACTGGACACGTATCGTGCTGAAATGGAAACAGGAATGTACAGTGAAAGCCCATCCCCTGCACCTTGGTAACCAGTGAGCAACCGTTTATATAGCAACTTTCCACCCCACAAGCGTTTTATGTGCACTACTTGGAGGAATTCCCTTCACCTACCATCAAAATGCAGCCACCTCTGGGTTAGCGCACGGCAGCTGATTTAGCAGTGCCGAGCAACGTTACATAGAGTCTTGGCAGGATTCGATTTTAAATGGATAACTGTTAAGTGTGTCAGTTGAAATCGACATTTATTAAGTTGATGAAAAAAAAAAATCAATGGCTAAGTCAGCATGCCTGCAGGGATCCGTTGTCGCTGGCTGTCACAAGAGTGAACAAGTGGGTCCGTGACAGCAGAGCTGCAGCGGTCTCCCCAAGCTGCCTCAGGACTGGCAGAGTAGAGCAGATCAGACCTGCCAGGACTGCAAGCAGGATGACGAGTGCCCAGCTGCAGGCGAGAGGCGACCCCACTGCTGAATGGCTCCTGTGGCAGTGCAGGGAGCCCTCTGAAGCCCTGCCGTCAAGGATCCGCCCCCCGCTCTCACCAGCGGGGAGCGCTGTGGGTCTGTACTCTGCCCTGCCAGGACTGCAGCTTTCCCTGCACCTTGGGGCTCCAATGTCACCAGCCCACAGCTCCATTACTACAGCCCTGCTCGCTCACTCACCAGCCAGGAGCCGACTCAGGGCAGGATCTGGTGAGCAGCAGGCCTCCCCCAGGGCTGGGGGGTTCGTCTTTCTCCTTACAGTCCTGGGTGGGGATCGCTGCTCTGCCAGGCCAGGAAGACTGCAGCCTCCCCCACACCTTGTGCCCTGGTCTCTCGAGCCCCTTGGCAGCCCAGGACCTTCCCCACCCCCCCGTCAGTGCTGTCCAAACCCTAACCCCCAAACTATCAAAATAAAAACATCAAAAAATAGAAAAAATACTAAGAATTAAAAAAAAAAAACCATTGTCAAATTAGAAAAAAATAAAAACCAAATTCTGCCAATCCCAGTTATACAGTAGTTTAGAAAAGGGGGGAAAAGACCTCAGCATCCAGTTGAAACGGCAGGAGGTGGGGTGGGGGGAATTTACACCGTTGACCGTTGCAAAGTACTTTTTGGAGATCTATGGATGAAAAGTGCTGTGTAAGCGCTAGGGATTTGAACTATTACATAGATGGAATGTGGTGACCTACAGCAGAATGTGGAGAGAGCACACGGGTTAACGCTCTTACTCTTGTGAATAGCGCTGTTGAGTCTAAGTGAAAAGAAGCGATCAGGGCCTTATCTGAAAGACACTGCAAAGAGCCCCGAACAATATGCTGGGGCAAGGTTTTAACACTGACTCAGATGAAAGACCTTCCCCTTCTAACCAACACCATTTCATTCCGCCCTGGCAGTCTCCCAGCCGAGGACTAACCCAATACACCCCAGCTTAGCTCAGAGCTTGAGCTGTTGAGATCACATCCATGATGGCAGGACTGCCAGTTGTTTGGCCAATGTAATGTAACTATTAACCAGTAGCTAGCATCATCTTTGTTTGCTATTTTGATAATGGATAACAAGGGACTGATGAATGGATCCGAAATTAATTCGTGACACATTATTTTGCACTGCACGAGAATGACATGGTAGAAAAGTAGCCATACGTTTCTAAAGAGAAAGGTTTTTTAATAGAAGTTACTCAGTGCTTTTTAAAAGCAGATTATACGTAACTATCTTGTAATCAGGCGCTTTAACAACTTGGCTACATAGGAAAGACGACAGGAAAGATGAGTGGACAACAGCGACAATGGAAAGATTTCATGGGAAAACTGGACAGCAACGAACCACATTTGCTACCAATGCAGTATTTGAAGCTCTCTTCAATTGATTCCATTTCAGATCCCTGTTCTGCCACAGCCTCCGTGTGTGACTTTAGGCAAATGCCTCAGGGTGTTGTCAGGCTAAATATTAAAGACTGTGAGGAGCTCTGATATTACGGTAAGGGGACCCCCAGTCACTAAAACAGATACATCGACGATACAAAGAAGGGATGAATTCACAAATCAATTTAAATCCAAATGGTGGGAATACTTACCTTCAAGTGCTCCACTGAGCGTAATAAAGGTTTCTGAGCTTGCAGTGTGGGGATTAAAATGAGAACTGAAAGCTGGATAAGGAACTGGTTAAAGGGGAGACTACAACGGATCATACTGAAAAGTGAACTGTCAAGCTGGAGGAAGGTTACTAGCGGCGTTCCTCAGGGATTGGTCTGGGGACCAATCTTACTTAACATTTTTATTACTGACCTTGGCACAAAAATAAAATTTGCGGATGACACAAAGTTGGGAGGTCTAGGCAAGATGCAGGAGGGCTGGAATATCCTACAAGATGATCTGGATGACCTTGTAAACTGGAGTAATAGAAATGGGATGAAATTTAACAGTGCAAAGTGCAAGGTTTTGCATTTAGGGACTAACAAGAAAAAGTTTTGCTATAAGCAATGGACTTATCAGTTGGAAGCAACAGAGGAGGAGAAAGACCTGGGTGTATTGGTTGATCACAGGATGACTAGGAGCCGGCAATGTGATGCGGCTGTGAAAAGGGCTAATGCAGTCCTAGGAAGTATCAGGCGAGGTATTTCCAGTAGAGACAGAGAAGTGTTTGTACCATTAGACAAGGCCCTGAGGAGACCTCATCTGGAATAGTGTGCACAGTTCTGGTCTCCCATGTTTAAGAAAGATGAATTCAAAGTGAAGCAGGTGCAGAGAAGGGCAACTAGGATGATCTGAGGAATGGAAAACCTACCTTATGAGAGGAGACTCCAAGAGCTTGGCTTGTTTAGCCTGACCAAAAGAAGGCTGAGTGGAGATACGATTGCTCCCCATAAATACATCAGCGAGATAAATACCAAGGAGGGAGAGCAGTTATTTAAGTTAAGCACCAATGTTGACACAAGAACAAATGGATATAAAAGTGGCCATCAACAAATTTAGGCTTGAACTTGGACGAAGGTTTCTAACCATCAGAGGAATGAAGTTCTGGAACAGCCTTCCAAGGGGAGCAGGGGGCGGGGGGGAAACCTAACTGGCTTCAAGACTGATCTTGAGAAGTTTATGGAGGGGATGGTATGAGGAGACTGCATACAATGGCATGTAGCCAATCTACGACTGCTAGCAGCAACCATCTTCAGTAACTGGTGATAGGACACTAGATGGGGAGGGCTCTGAGTTACTACAGAGAATTCTTTCCCAGGTGTCTGGCTGGTGGGTCTTGCCCACATGCTCAGGCTCTAACTGATTGCCAGATTTGGGGTTGAGAAGGAAATTCCCCCCCAGGTCAGATTGGCAGAGATCCTGGGGGGTTTTCGCCTTCCTCTGCAGCGTGGGGCACAGGTCACTTGCAGGTTTAAATTAGTGTAAATGGTGGGAGGGCTTCAGTGATTCAGCCAGAGGTTAGGGGTCTATTACAGGAGGGGGTGGGGGTGAGGTTCTGTGATGTGCAGGAGGTCAGACTAGATGACCATGACGGTCCCTTCGGACCTTAAAGTCTATGAGGTAGGTTCTCTCCATTTGGCAGGTGGAGAAACTGAGGCAGAAAGGTGCAGGGACTAAGCTCTGCTCATAAAGGAACTCGGGCCTAAGCCATGCTTCCTTCTATGGTATCTTCTTAGGGTTGGATTAGAGGTGGTGGAGACAGAGATAGTCTGTGCATTAGGCAGGCACTGTGCGGCTCTGCAAGCTTCCCCCCCCCCTCTCTGTCGATGCCCCCTCAGGCATGCCAGGAGCCGTAGAAGGAAGCATGGCTTAGGCCTGAGTTCCTTTGTGAGCAGAGCTTAGTCCCTGCACCTTTCTGCCTCAGTTTCTCCACCTGCCAAATGGAGAGAACTTACCTCATAGACTTTAAGGTCCGAAGGGACCGTCATGGTCATCTAGTCTGACCTCCTGCACATCGCAGGCCACATTCATTCCGTGATATCAGGATGATAATAAGCTGGGGGGGAAAGTTTACAAGTCGACACTTCCCACGAGGACAGAGACCCCAGCTTGTTTCACACATAACAACCAATTGTCAGATGGCACAAACTGGGCTACTGCTAACACCAACAGGATCTGACCGGGTGACTTCGAGATAAAAAGCGTCATAAATCCATTAGCAATTTCTCCAAGCCTCCACTTTACTTCAGCCTGAAGGACAGCTTTAGAGGAGACACGTTTCAAAGGCTGGATGATTAATATTATGGTGTCATGAAACGAAAGAGCTTTGGATTGAAGTGGCAGATAGTGGGGTCAATGCACCACACGCACCCAGTAGCTCAAGACTGAGGTACGAGACAGCGAGGAGCGGTCGGTATTAGCACAGTCTCTCTCTCTCACACGCACTTACCAGTTCTAACCATGGCACGATGCAGTTGCTGTGGAAGAAGTGATTGCACGGTAACTGTCGAACCTGCTCTGCTACTGTATAATCTTCTTTACAAACAGGACACTCCAAACCTGTATCTGCAGGACAGATTCATACAGGGGATGGGTTAGCACGCTGGACACAGCAGAGACCTGTTTGCACAGCCTTAATCCACAATGGGTCCAATGACAACAGCCAAAGCCTTACCAAAATGGGGCATCAAATGCCGCATTCCCTTACTGATCTCAGTTGATTTCTCCCAGAGGGATGCAGACAGGAGGACTCGAGCCGGGGAACAGTTGTTGAAGAGGAGCAAGGCTGAGTTTGCAGACGTGAGGAAATGATGGAGTATGGATTGTTTTTTTGTTTCGGTCGCCCGTGCATGGCACAATAAGGAGATCTATTTTATCCAGAGTGCCCTACCCAGTGCTGAAGGGCGACCGACAGGAATTGAGAACAGATACTGGACACCCCGCACTGATAAACAGAGAATAAATGTGGGTGGGGGCGATTCAGCACAGGAAAGGTCCTAGAGACGGGGAGGAGTTTAGAACTCAGGAAGGAGGGTCCACTAAGGAGCTGGATGGTGGTTTCTAGTTCTGTCAATGGGATTACTCGCAGGAGTGAAGTTACACAGTGTTTGTAGGATCGAGCCCAAGGGCAGTAAATTTCTCATTTCTAAAATGCCTCTGCCATTATTTTATTGACGTTTTTATGGCCTTGGCGAGTCCATTTTCAAATTTTATTTTTATTATAACTTTTTGGTTTTATAGTTCCTGTTTCCCGATGGCTGGACTCCAATATATACATGGGAAGGGAGAACATTCAGCTACTTGAATGGCTTACAGTCTGCTTTATATTTGATGTTGGGGCCACAATGGACTTTTTTACATAGTTAATGCTCTGCAAAGTGCTATTAAAGACCTTCCAATATAGGGCCTTGGGGACTATACAGCCTAACATTTGCCAGGCTGGCACAAAAGATGACCGATAATGAAAATCAAACTAGGGGCATTTTACTTGTCTATTAAACTCACTCGCGTAGGACAGTGCCAACAACACCAACACAAGAACTAGGGGTCACCCAATGAAATCAAAACAAACATAAGGAAGTACTTCTTCACCCGACACACAGTCAACCTGTGGAACTCATTGCCAGGGGATGTTGTGAAGGCCGAAACTATAACAGAGTTCAAAAAAGAACGAGGTAAGTTCATGGAGGATAGGTCCATCAATGGCTATTAGCCAAGATGGTCAGGGATGCAACTCCGTGCCAAAAGCGGAGAGTGGATGACAGGGATGGATCACTCACAATTACCTGTTCTGTTCATTCCCTCTGAAGCACTTGGCATTGGCCACTGTTAGAAGACAGGATATGGGCTAGATGGACCATTGATCTGACCCAGTTATGGCTGTTATGTTAATTTTGCAATGCTGCTATGGAATTAGGATTAGTGATTCTTCCTCCCCAGGAAAGGAGCACGTTGGCTACATAGCAATCCCAGTTTGGACACTGAGAGCTGCTCTCCTGTCACCACTAGCGCTGCACTGACACTGCAGCTCCAGCACCAAACACATTTTCTAGCTTGCGTCCTTTGCCAGCAGAGACACTGAACCTGCCACATTAATTCCCGACTCAGTTGCCAGGTAGCACAACAGATGTTCAGCTAGCTCACAGACACGGGGCAGACTCTGCTGTTGCTTTGCAGGAGATATTATAATATGGAGATACACGCTCCTCTTCAGGCTCCATAAATGAGACTAAAACTCGTGCATATAAAAAGATCCAGACAAAAACAGATACCATGGAAACAGATTTTTTTTTTTGTAAATGAAACAGTGCGTCTTCAACCAATTTTAGTTTCAGGGAACACATTAGCTTATAGGGGGAAAAGAATCCGGACTGCAACTTTGAGTCACACACGTCTGCAAACACACTAAAAAAAAACCTTGCTGAACCAACAGTGAAACTGTGAGCACTCATGAAACACACACAATTCTTTGCTGTCAAGTATGTCAAAGGAACCGGTGATCTTTACACCCACATTTTAAAGAGGATTTAGGAGCAGTTCAGTAGGAATCTGTTCACAGTTGTATTTACCAGCTAAGAAAGGAGACGTGACATGCACGCTCCCCTTGGATCTGATAAACAGAAGGAGGTCACAACAAACAAACAGAAGGAGGTAAGTTTAAAACAGCAGCAACAGCTCAAATAAGCAAAAGGCGTGTTTCTCATAACTGGATAAATGCAACATACCACATGCACTATGCATGCCGCTGTCAGTCCGAAGCCTTGACTTTACCAACCAATGCCTGCTACTCATTCAATTCAGACCATTTTAGCTTTTGGGAGGGCAGTTGAGACCAGGGATCAAAGCAGGCCCACCTCCACAGTCAGGGTAGCCCAAGTTGTCAGCAGAACCTCCAGAGCTAAAAAAAAAAATCACAACCCTCCATTGCTTGAGCTGAGCGACTCAGCTAGATGGTGGACCAGATGTTCGAGGGTGCACACAACACACAACTGAATGGGAGGTAGCAGGCAGTGGTGGAGGCAAAGAGTCTAATCATTAACGTAGGGAAGCTTAAGGGAAAAGTCAGAAAAGCCTTCGGGACCCATGGAGAGCACCAGTGTAGATCTATCAATGCATCCAAATGGTAGAAGACACACAGCAGGACGTCAAGCATTACTAGACATGGGAGGAAAGACCAGATATTGGACTTAACCCACCGACTTGTTCCTGAGTTACTGTCACCGTTGGAAGAGAGGTGATCTTCTCTTTGTCAGCTGGGGGCGGTCCTGTGTTTTCCAACTGTCCTAAAAGCTGCAAGGGGATAACAAACACACCATGTTTTAGAATGCAACCCAGCCTTGTCTTGTGGAATCTCTCTCATTCAAGCTGTGCCTCCACACGACTCCACCACATTAACCAGGCCAGGGAGGGAGCTGCACCATAAAACATAGGCTAGTCGCTAGCTACAGGATAGGGAGGTTTTCAGACAGCATCTGAAGTTAAATAGATGCAAGTAAGCTGCATCTGGCACAAACTGCAGAGGAGAAGGCTCTCGGACCACAGCAGGGAGCCAGTGCTGTATGAGCAGGGTGGGGAGGAGAAGAAAAACCCAAGAGACAGGCTGGAGCGAATGGAGGAGGATACTGGACTGAAAGGGAGTTGACAGAGGTGTCTCGCGACTGGAGGGTTGGAGAAAGGCATTGTGCTGCCTGGTGGGCGTAAGAAGATACACAGCAGTGTTCTGCACACGCTGGGACTTGGGCAAGCCACGAAGAGAGGAGATTACAAGTGGTCCCACTCTAGCCCAGTAATGACACCGCAATAAAATGACTGAGGTGATATTGACCCCCGTCACTCGCCCCCTCCAGACACGGGATGGAGGCACAGCCGAGAGGAGCTGTACGTCCACACAGAAACCAGACTGCTGCTTGTGGAATGGGGGGGGGGGGTTTGATGTCAGCAAACGGCACCTGATGACCATAATGAGACTCTCCAAGCCCCCTCCCCTGGACACATGGGATGTGGGCTCCTTTGAGGAAGTTGTGATGAAGGAGAGCAAGATGCATTTGCGAGGCAGTTTGTAAAGCCGTGGCTAGCCGCAAACGACGGCAGATGGCCTGCACGCCATGTTCACGAGGTGCTTGACAACAGCAGGATTAGCTACCACAAAATGTTCTAGTTGCTCATCCTCTCCAAGACAGGGGAGTCATCGCCCTCCAGAGATTTGGCTCCACTCCCAAGCCAGCCCCTTCTGTTCTCATATTAACCAAAAAAGAGCTTGTGGGGTGGTGATGGGAAAGGAATTGACCCTATTCTCCTCCATCCAAGATGCACGGTCCCTAGTGGGCAGAAGGCAATCGGTAACTCATCGCTTCAGAAGGCTCTGTAGCTCTCGAGACATAAAAGCTGCATCTGTCTGAACAGGGATCTATGCAGAGAACTGAAATCTTCAACGCAATGCCGGGACTGTCTTTTTGTTGGGCGTTTGTACAGAACCTAGCACAACCGATACCTGGGCGCTACGGTCAGACAAATAAACGATAAGAAGTTAGCTTTGCTATCGTTAAGGTTTGCAGGGATGTTGCAAGGAACTTGCAACCTTCCTAGCAGATAGTTGCACAGCTAGAATTGGCGCTCACGAAAGGCAAGGAGATGAAATACTATACCCTGCAACGTCGGCTTTCATACGAAGCCCTCAAAGAGCCTCTGCATTAGCAGGACAGTAATTAAGCCTCAACGCTGCCCCATTCCCACAAGGAGATAGATATCCCTGTTTTATACAGGGGAAAACAAGGCATAGAAAGAAGAGATTCACCCAAAGTCTCACAGCCAGTCAGCAGCAGAGCTGGGAACCCAGGTATCCTGACCCATCTCCCCATCCCTTTTGCTAAGAACCAGCCCATCTTTACAAGCAGAGATGAAGCAAAAACGATCAGAACCAATTCCTCCTCCTTTACCCTGGTCCCTGTGAGTGTTCTAGACGATTAAAAATAGCTTAAAGCGCTAGCAGCCTCATTGCTGCCATAATCAGGATCCCCTTGTGCCAAGACGTTTGTGGTGATAACTCAGATGAGTCAGAATGAAACACAGAGCTGCATCGACTTACTACATGCAACACTAGCGAGGTGTGTTCTCAGACCAGGGACTGAGGAGTCTGAGGTGGGGCTGATGGCTGTGGAACTGTGGGTCAGCTGCTCTCAAAATCATTAGCCTCAAAAGTGATTTAAGGGCTGAAATGAATGCCTTACAGTGAGAGACTAAAAGAGACTGTTTAGCTTATCAAAGAAGATCCAGAGAGGACTGGATGATGGAGTTTAAGTACCTTCCTGGGTAAAGATACTAAAGGGCTCTAACAGGGAAAGGCGTAACAAGAACCAAAGCCAGACAAATTCAAATTAGAAATAAGGCCTAGTTTTTTACGTGAGAGTAGTTAACCATTGGAACAAACCACCCAGGGAAGTGGTGGATTCTTGAGGTCTTCAAATCACAACTGGATGCCTTTCTGGAAGAGATGCTTTACTCAAACCAGGAACTGGGCTCCATACAGCAGTAACTGGATGAAAGGTTATAGCCTATGCTATACTGGAGGTCAAACTAGATGATCTAATCATAGAACCATGTATCTGTAGGGCTGGAAGGAATATCAAGAAGTCATCAAGTCCAATGTCCTCTGAAGAGGCAGGACCATGTAAACCTAGGCCATCCCTGACAGGTGTTTGTCCAAGCTGTTCTTAAAAACCTCCAACAACGGGGATTACGCAACCTCCCTTGGCAGCCTGTTCCAGAGCCTAACCCCCCTTAGGGTTAGAAAGTTTTCCTAGTATCGAACCTAAATCTCCCTTGCTGCGGATTAAGCCCATTGCTGCTTCTTCTATCTTCAGTGAACATGGAGAACAATTGGTCACCGTCCTCTTTATAAACAGCCCGTAACATATTTGAAGACTTACCAGGTGCCCCCACACTCTTCTTTTCTAAAGACTAAACATGCCCCTTTTTTTAAAACCTTTCCTTGTAGGTTTTGTCACGCTCCTCCACACCCTCTCCAATTTGGCCACATCTTTCCTGAAGCGTGGCACACAGAATTGGACACAGGTCGCCAGCTGAGGCCTCACCGGTGCCAAATAGATCAGAACAATTACCTCCTGTGTCTTACATACACTATTTCTGTTAATACATCCCATAATGATATTAGCCTTTTTTTTTGCAACGGCATCACCCTACTGACTCATATTCAATGCGTGATCCACTAGAACCCCCAAGTCTTTTCAGCAGTACAACCACCTAGCCAGTTATCCCCAATTTTTTAGTTATGCATTTGATTTTTCCTTCCTAAGTGAAGCACTTTGCACTTGTCTTTATTGATTTTCATCTTTCATAGATTCTAGGACTGGACGGGACCTTGAGAGGTCATCGAGTCCAGTCCCCTGCCCGCATGGCAGGAACTCAGAACTCAGACCAGTTCTCCAATTTGTCAGTGTCATCCTGCACTGCGATCCTGTCCTCAAAAGTGGCTGCAACTCCTCTTGGCGTGGTGTCATCTGCAAATTTTATAATTTGTCATCTGCTCCACTCTGTTATCCAATCGTCCCTGCTGGCCTTAAAAATCTATGAAAAAGGGATTATCTCTAGAAGGAAGTGAGATTGACAGGAGAGGGAAGTGAAAGATAGAAAAATCGTACAGGCACAAATCAGAAAGCTTGGGCAGAATAACTGGGTCTCACCCCACATCAGCACACGTGCAAATCTTACCTGGGTCACAATAGCATCAAGGCCGCTCTGTCCCCATGCATAGTCGCCTGGATTGGAGTGCAGCATTCCACTCCTGCAGATAGAAGCAAACAGTTAAGGGAGCGATTTTGTCAACCTCAATACAGCTCAGAAATGTTCTTGCACTGAAATTCAAACAAACACCAGCAGGATTTATACAGCACATCATCCTGTGGGATCCCAGAGATGAAGCCGTTCAGCTGGGTACAGATCTGACAGCACAAGAGCCATCCCATTGTGGAGTGCCATTTATCGCATAGACACAACAGATTTGCAGCACAACGCTTGTTTACTGCAACGATCTGATCCAAGGAGGTGGTGCTAAACGCTGCTCGCTACTCACCAGGAAAAAGGGTGCTGTGAGCCTGGGATTGCTGAGTTTGCAAAAAACCCTGCAAAGATCTGCTGTATTATTCTGTTAAGAAGAAAGGGTAAAAAAAACAAACAAAAACAAAAAACAAATTGAGCAAACAGGCTAGGACAAAAACACAGGCAAGCAACAACATTTTAGTGAGAGAAGGACAGTGAACCACTAGCTCCTCCCAAAATCAACTACGGGTCCCTCCCTCAGAAAGCCACACTTTTTGGGAGCGTTTGTTGTACATCTTTCCTCCAAGGGTGAGCCAAGACTGCCCAACAGACGGGAGGAAGGAAGCATGTTTAAAGCAATGCAAACTTCTCCGAGATGGTGCCAGGGGTTGAGATTTCCAGGACACTGATTCTTCTTCCTTACTCCGGTAGCTTTCATTGCTGTGGGGATGGAGATTAAAGGAGGAGGAAGTAGAGAGTGAAAAATATTCAACTCCGAGTCAATAGTTTTCACTGATTTTGGGGGGAGAATGTGGGTTTTTAAATGACATGCCCTGGATCCAAGGAGTTATGGGAATGGCAGGTGTGGCAAGTGAACGAACACTCAGAGTTAAAAACCTGGACCTGTGTAAAGGATTTTAGGCACTGCAATACCTAACTGATTTAGGAGCCTAAATCTCATTTTCAAAGGGGATTTAGACACTTAGGAGCAAAAATCCCATCAACTGTCAACATGATTTGGTTCCTACGTGTAAATCCCTTTTGAAAATGAGATTTAGGCTCTTAAATCAGTTAGGCACTGCAACGCTGAGCCCAGCGATGTGGAAACACCTTTCAAAATCTGGGCCCTAGTCTCTAGGGATACTCAACGGATCAAAGCCAGTCTTCCTGCACCTGCCGCAGCACCAGATGCAGGACCAAGACCTCTTATTGTATTAGCTCTCAGCATCCTCTTGGCCGAGCACGCTCCCATCCGGGGGTTAGGAGCCAAAGAGACTATTCCAATCCCTTCTCTCCTCCATAGCACCAGTCCTGCCTGCCTCCCGAAACAAGAGCTCTCGTACCTCCCGCAGCATGCCCCGCGACCCCAGGAGCAGCCGCTTCCCCTAACGCCCTGTGACCCCCTTAATGGCTCCTGGCTTGAGGTTGTGCCCAGGAATGGGCGGCAGGTAGAGCGGGTTAGGATGGAAGGAAGAAGGTGGATTCCCCACTGATGAATGGAGTGCCAATCTGGGACTTTGTCTAGGTAAGCACTCTGACCCAATACTCCCACCTGCCTCCAAATCTAAGGACCTGCCCCATGCCCAAGGCGTTAAGAATTAAGACGACAGCGGGGCCAACTCCACAATCTAATGGGAGGGCACCACACTGCCGTGCAGGGGTTCGGAGGTCACGACTCGTATCTGTCCTTGTTCCCAGACTGATAGCATTACTGGGGCACCCCAGAGGCAGTGGACCCAATGCCTCTCTTTAGCAACCCCAATTCTGGAGTGGCCCCAACAGGCTTTACGAAGGACCCAGTCATCCACGGGGGGGGTGGGTTCCAGTCTGCTGAGGGGTAGGGGCTCTGGGAAGCCTGGCGGCTCAAGCAGGAAGGAGGCCCGAGCTAAGCTGCAATACGTACACTGAAAGTCTCGTCACTTACCCTTCAATAGCAGGAGACCTGTCTGGACGTGAGCTGCCCCGGGATCTGTACCTCCGTGTCATGGGCAGCCGCGGGGGTCTGCTTGGTCCCCAGAGATCCGCATGTGCTTGATGGCCCCTTTCGTTGTCTCGGCTGTCTTGATCCAGCGAGCTGCTGCTCAGAAACGGTCTGAAGTCTGGGAATAACATTGTGTGGTCCAAGTGGTCCCAAAGCTGTTGAGAAGCCAAAACACATGCAACACACGTGCACAGGCTGTTAGGGCAGGAAAGGAAGACCTGCTTTAAATACAGTTCAAGAGGGATTGGATGGGTCAAGGGATCAGTAGCGGACATGGGATCTCTCTCCTCTTGATCATTGGTTTGACTCTAACATAGGTCGATAGAGACTGAAAGCTGTTGCCACTTGATGGTGGCTCACGTTCAGTAGCCTATGGAACGAGCAGGGAGGGGAGGACACCACTCCTAGGGTGACAGACAGACACCCCCACCACACCCCTCGTTACTAGCCTCAGCAGAGGCCAAGACTGACTAGGCCACAGAAACCCCCCAGGGCAGAACAGAGGCTCAGGGTGAGAGCAGCATAAGGATAGCTGCCGTTATCTCTTCTAGGGTTAGACAGAGGGCTACAATCTCCGAGGCTGCAAATCTGGACTCTTTCTCCAGTGTGATGGATTTTAAAATTACTTCTAGACCGAAAGGTGAGGTTTCTTCTGTTCCAATGGAGACAGGACCCAGAGGGGAAAATATCGGCCGCTCGTAAATGCAGGGCTAAACAGCAGAGGAGCTGTGGTTTTCTAAAGGCCCTTTAGAAATGAACAGTATACCAGTGACAAGTATTAGTCTGACATCCCTGGAGACCGACAGTCTCTATTCCCAGAGCAGGTACTGCAAGGGCAGAACAAGTTTTCCCACACACCGCTCCCTGCCCTATCTGTATCCCCGTAGCGCCTAGAGACCCCATACAAGATCAGCTGCCCGGTGCTGTACAGACACACAGTAAGCGCCACATGTTGTAATCTCTTTGTGGCAATGCTGTCTACGCAGACAGACAAAACAGGCACAGAGAAGGGAAGTGAATTGTCCAAGATCATTGGGGGGAAGGGATAGCTCAGTGGTTTGAGCATTGGCCTGCTAAACCCAGGGTTGAGAGTTCAATTCTTGAAGGGGCCACATAAGGATCTGAGGCAAAAATCAGTACTTGGTCCTGCTAGTGAAGACAGGGGGCTGGACTCAATGACCTTTCAGGGTCCCTTCCAGTTCTATGAGATAGGTATATCTCCATATATGATCATATAGCAGGTCTGCTGAGTCCCGGTCCAGTGCTCTACCCACTAGGCCATGCTGCCTATCTGATAAGTAATCAGGGACTCACTACACAGACGGTACCAAGCGGCAGAGGTCAGCAGTGGCCAGAAGCCATTGCTACCCAACAGGGGATATTCTGCATGTCAGCAGTCTGAAAAGGCTGACCCCATGGACAAATGAAAGGCCTCCATCTGCACAGGCTACTGTAGTCTACAGGCTACAGATAACCTCTGGGTTCGTGCCTTTGAAGCTGCAATCGCTGTGACAGAAAAATCCTCGGCGTACTGCAAAACGGGGCAGCAGGGTTATACCAGGCCTGGGGAACCGGACAGAACTGCGAAGTCAGTTAATTAAGAGCTGCCTTTTGGGAAAACTTTGTAAAACGTCAAGCAGAGCAGGGGGAAGAAACAAAGTCATCCTGAGAAAAGCAATTTAGCAAATTTAGATTGTTTGCCAGACATTTTCTGGGAACCATGGCAACCAGCTTAATTTAGCCCAAACTAATCAGGTGCATCACCCCCAATTAGACTAATTTGTTGATTCTTTCCTGGCAGATTTATGCGCAGCGATCAAAGCAGACTACATGTTTGTTTTAGTAACTTACGTAGCGTTCATCATACTTAGCCAGAATGGAGCTAAATGCAGTTCTCAAAGCGCAGGCCTAGTGGGTGTCAGCGTAGCCTAGCAGATGGAGCACTGGACTGGGAATCTGGAGACAGGGGTTCTAATCCTGGCTCTGCCATTGGCTTAGTGCATGACCTTGGACAAGTCACCTTAACCATTCTGTGCCTCAGTTTCCCCATCCGTACTTACCTTCTTTTTAAAGAGCTTGAACAGCTATGGGGGAAAATAGGTATTAACATTATAGGTGCCTCCGGCAAAGAGGGGGTGAGGAAAGGAAGGAGCAGATGAAAAAGGCTAGGGGAGAACTAATCGAAGTAGAAAAGCCTTGCATCTAACCTTCAAAGCAGCTGCAGAGGGGCCGTGGTGGATACACGTAGGGAGATAACACCAGGCCATGAAAGTCTCATGTTCGGCCAGTTCCAGATGGAACCTCGGTGTATCAAAGAGATGGAATGAACACGATCGCCTTGGACCGACTCGTAGAGAGATGGGCGCTCACGTGTTCTTCCCAATCAGCTGATAAAGGTCCAGGGAGAGAGTAGCTGTTCTTTTCCCTTCCTGACCTTGCAGCAGAATATTTATTAGCTTTTCTGCCAAGGGTAGGGGAGAGCTGCAATGCTTCCGCTCCCTTCACTGCGCTAGGTTTACGGATCGAATGTGTAAAACGAAAGCATTTTGTTTTAACACCGATGAAAAAAGAAGTCTTGATGGGATGTGGGGGAGGAGGGGTTTCTGGTGGGTAGAGCAGAGGACGAAGAGCTAAGCCTCCATAACATCCGCTGCTCATTGTGTGACCTTGGGAAAGACACACCGCCTCCCCGGGCCTCTATTTCTCCATCTGTAAAACGGGGATTAAACCTCCCTCGCGGAGCGGAGGGCAATGTGAATCAGCATGTGACTAATTAGCATTAGATCTGAAATCCTCCAGCGCCAGGTTCCATAGAAACAGAAGAGCACGTTTTGCTTGGAAACAGGCTGCTGAATTCAGACCACAGACAACAGCTGTGGTGATAATGGCCAATCGTCCAGGTCAGACAGTGCGACGTATTTTGTAGGACCCACTGATCCGTTTAAGCCCAGCTTTCTGGCCGACAACAAACAGTAGCTTGCTCATTCTGCAACAGGTTAGCTGGCTCATTAAGCAAAACTGGGCTCAGCTCTCCAGATCCGGTCCAGGAGCTCCCTGTTGGGCCCACTGAGAGGGTGGGGCAGCACCTGACAGGCTACAAAAGGTCATTGAGAAGTCAGAATAGGGGAATCAGGCAGGGGAGGAGAGCTGCTGGAGAGATGGTGGTTCCTGGGAGAAAGCGGAGACAGGGGAGCAGCACACGGGGTTTGCTGGCTGGTGTTCCCAAGCCAGAGGGCCGAAGGCAGGGGGAGCAGCAGAGGGAGATGCCTGCTGGCTCTACGCCAGAGCCAAGAGCCAGAGAGGGCGGAAGGCAGGGGGAGCAGGAGAGCGGCTTATCCGCTGACATCTCCTTGCTGGAGAGCTGGAGCCTGAGGAAGGCAGAGCGGGCTGGGGGAGCGAGGGATGCTCCCAGCAGAGAGGCTGGGAGAGATGCTGCTGGGAAGAGCAGGGTTGCCCCCCAAAAGGATGGGCAGGGTTTCTGTCCCGACAGAGGGAAAGAAGAGGACAGCTGTGACGGAAGACGCTGGGGTATGATACGAACAAGGACTAGATGCACTGGGGTGAGACAGACTAAAATTTTGGGACCTTTGTTACAGACTATTTGCAGAAGCATTTTGTAATAAATACCACCCCTCTTGGGGGCCAGTTTAAGTAAGAGCCTGAAGTGGAGTCCTCGGAGTTACCCAAGAGGGAAACTGAGGCAAGGGGCCACTTGCAGGGGTGCCCAGGAGGGGGGCCCACTTGTTTATACCACCACCAGTGCATGCTCCATTCGCTCACACAGCCGCTGCTTTTGCTGTCGAAACCCACCTGTTCCTTTACTAAACTGAACAGCTGTCGGTTCCGCGACAACCCCTTAGGTAAGCCGAGACGCTCGGCTCAGGTGTGCTATTTGCATAGGACACGAGCTTTCAGGGTAGTCAATGAAATTATGCAGCGCAATTGGCTCGATTTCCTCGGCTTTTCCCCCGCTTGCAGGAAAGAAGTGGGGCGTATAGAGACAGTCACGAAGCAAGGGAATCTCCCCGTTCTCCTCTCCTGGACCTCTGACGGCATCATTCAGAACTGAAAGTGCTAACTTGCAATCTTAGGCTGCAAAACCAGTTTTGTTTTATTGCATTTTTAGAAAGCCTCTTCGTGATTAAACAAGCCTGCGGTTCAAAATAGCTCAGTTAGTAGCAACTGACGCTCTGTTACTATGAGGGCACAGAAGGTTTATTAAGATTTTTATGAAAGATTTCAGAATGTGCAAGCAACCAAGTAGTGTCAGATAAGAGAGCTACCTGTGTGAAGCGGGAGCAGTTGGCATTTACACTGGATATACCAGTGTCAGGTGATCTAGACACATCACTATAAAATGACATTAGATACAGCTGCATTTTGAGATGTGTCAAAAGAATCAGATACAACAGAACATATCGTAAGACGGAAATAGAATAATCTCAACATATTTACTATCCACATTTTACTGACACCTCATCAGCCTGGAAAACCGCAGCTTTATTTTGTGTATCTAAGTAGCTCAGTTTACAAGATCTTTATGCCTACTAGTTCAACTCCGCATCAGAGGACGAGGGGAAGGAGAAGAAAAAAAAAAAAAATCCAGATTATGATCTGCTTTGTGATTCACCAAACACACACCCCAGAATCAGAACGGAGCTGGAACTTTTGTTGAACAGAATGCAGCTACGCTCGCCTGCAACCCCGCCAAGAGCAAAAGCTCATTATTAATACTAATCTGAATATGTACATAGCGTCTTTCATCCTGAACACCATCCCAAAGCTCTTTGTGAACTGTCACACAAAATACAAGCAAAGATCACTCTATTCACCGTCACTGCTGGAGTAGACCACGGCAGTTTACTAGCACACAGCAGTGGTTTCATTTACATGGAGACTATATCCAGCCAAAACTTCAGAGGGGAATTGAGCCCACGTGTACACTAGCGAGCTTACAGCGGCACAACTGTACCGATGCAGCGGTGCCACTGTAAGATCACTCGTGAAGGCGCTTTATGTCAGCAAGCGAGAGCTCTCCCGCCGAATAAATTAAACTACCTCCGACGAGTGGCAGTAGCTCTGTCGATGGGAGCGCGTCTCCCGCCAACATAGCGCTGTCCACACCAGCGCCTGTCAGTGTAACTTACGTCACTGAGAGGGTGTTCTTTCACACCCTTGAGTGACATAAGTTACACTGACAAACGTGGTAGTGTAGACATAGCCTCAGATATGCAGAATGTAATTGACTGTCAGATGATTAAGGGCATGGAACAGTTTCCATATGAGGAGAAATTAAAAAGCCTGGTACTGTTCAGCTTAGAAAAGAGATGACTGGAGGGGTAGGGAGGATAGTATAGAGGTCTATAAAATCGTGACTGGTGTGGAGAAAGTGAATAGGGAAGTGTTATTTACCCCTTCACATAACACAAGATCCCAGGGTCACCCCATAAATTAAAGGGCAGCAGGTTTCAAACAAACAAAAGGAAGTACTTCTTCAACCAACGCACAATCAACCTGTGGAACTCATTGCCAAGGGATGTTGTGAAGGCCAAAACTATAACAGGTTTCAAAAAAGAATTAGATAAGTTGATGGAGGATAGATCCATCAATGGCTATTAGCCAGGATGGCCAGGGATGCAACCCCATGCTTTGGGTATCCCTAAACATCTGACTGCCAGATGCTGGGATTGGATGACAGGAGATGGATCACTTGCTAATTGCCCTGTTCATTCCCTCCAAAGCACCTGGCACTGGCCACTGTCAGAAAACAGGATACTGGACTAGATAGACCCAGTGTGGCTGTTCTTATGTTTTTATCTTCTTCTGTCTCCCAATACTCCCGCCAGCGAGAGATGACTGGACAAGGCCACTTTTGAGTCCCATCACCGCTGTTCTTTGCTACATGTGGGGGAAAGAAGGGAATTGCAGTAGATGCACCCTAGATCATGCCTCTTTCACTCCCTCTGCATCTGTTGCCCCTGTCTCCTTGCATGATTATCTGCTTTGAGCCTTTGTCCTGCCATGCTCTGTGCTTGGAACTGTTCTGTTCGCGTGCGCCAAGCCATCAACTTCAAAGCCCTCCTCAAAACCCACCATGTTCATGAAGCCTCCTATAGAGATCTCCTTAAAGACTACAGCTGTAGTCAATGGCACAACTCTCATGTACTGGGACCAAAATTTCACCCAAGGTGACACTGTACCTTCTTGTTGTATGTGTCTGAGATGAGAGCAGAGATTCCATCTGTTCTGTAAAGGAGTGTGCCTCTACTCAACAAACAAAAAAAGCTCTCATCTAGCATGGCTTACGACTACACATTCAGTGTTTGAGACTGCTATCGGCTGGAAAGCAAATAAGTCAGTCACACATCAATCTCCTCCTATCAGTGTGTTCCTAGACATGCTTTCAAGAGTGTCATTCCCTGAATGTAAATTTTCATTCAAAAAAATTGCTAAAATGCAAAATAGATTTTTTGCTCAGCTAAGGGTTTTTTTTTTAAAAAGTCAGCATTAAAAGCAAACTCACCTCTGCAAACTGTGTGGATGGACTGTCGTCTATTCCACTGCCACTACCATCTAGAAAACTGAGGAGAAAACAGACTAGTCAGAGCCGGTTGTTGCTTTCAAAAATAAGCTCCCCCTTCTGGGGGTTAAATATAGACAGAAGCCAGTGTGAGCCAGACTCTCTATAAGGAACAAGACGAGGCTCCCATGTGGGCAAAAAAGGATGATCAAATGTGGTCCGAGTTGCTTTGTGGAAGGAATTAATCTATATATAAAACACAGTGTCAGCCCAGAGGGGACATGCAGGTAAAGCTGATGCGCCGGCTGAAAGAATAAAGTGACTCTACAGCGCACCAATTTAGGTTTCCCTTGTATGGAAAAAATATGCAAGATGTTTTAGAGAGGCTCCAATCTGGAGGAAGCCAGTTCACAAGAGAGTCACTGAACAGCGGTATAAATACATTTCCCTCGGGCTGCTAGATTCGCATTTGTGCTTCACTGTAGCTGTTTATTTCCTTCACGCCGTTCAGAGCAGCTCACTGGTTTATTTGGATATTTGGCACTTTGTCCCCTCCCGTAAAACTCCCTCACCACACCTACTAAACTGAAACTGAAAGCGGCCTGTGCTTAGCTCTGCACCACAAACCATGGCATTTTGCAGAGTTTGTTCAGGGAAGGGTGCTCACAAGGGTGAAAGGGCTACTCAGTTCCAAGGCAAACATTCCTAACCACAGAGCCAAGCAAAACCATTGGGCTTCATGTAATTACATCTTTATGTTCATTTGTTAACTGCTAGGAATATCGGTGTTCAAAAGGGACAGTGACTCACATCTTCCAAGTGAAACATGTTACATGGCTTTCCTGCTTCGGGAGCCCTGACATCAGACTTTAGTTACCATTCCCACTCCAAATAGCACAACTTTCTCAGCAGTGTCTCAGGAAGTGCCAGACTAGCATATTTTTCAGTCCCTAGTTGTTTGTAGGCAGCGTGTTCTACTGGATAAAGAACTGGACTGTGAATCAAGAGATCTGGCTTCTATTTCTGGCTGTGTTACCAAATCGCTGTGACCCCTTGGGCCCAGTCCCTCAATTTCCTCGTTCATAAGACACGGAGATCAATGGATGAAAACGGCTAATTGTCATTTAAATCCCGACAACTAGCACATTAGAAGGAGCAGAGCGTCAGGATACACAGTCTGCTTTATGCAATCAGAGGAAAGGTGGAGTCTTGTTCAAACATGATTAATCAGCCGTGTTTAATCAACTCACACACAAAATAAGGTGCTACACGTCTCCAAAGAGCTCACCAATACAAAACATCTTTGAAATAGGCACCATATAATGAGTTACGCCATCGTTACTATTAAGTGGAATATTAAATCAAGCCGTATTATATGGCATTAGACCAAGATTTTGCTCCACCTAAAACTTGGACAGGATTTGCGTTGCAAATCAACGTTCCATCTCGCCTACATTTTTGCCAGAAGAGTGCTAAATTAGTACCTAGCGACGCTACCCCCCACCACCGAATTAGTTTCCATTAATAAACTAGCAGCAACTCTACAGTGCTCTGTATGTTCAAACATTAATCAGTCCCAACAATCCCATTAAATATTATCCCCGTTTTAAAGTTTGAGAACTTGAAGCAGAGGCACGAGGAGACTTTCTTGAGGCCACAAAGGGAGTCGGTGTCAGAGCAAGGCACCGGCGTTCGAATCCTGATCCCCAGTTCCATACTTAGACAGTTACGCTTAATTATAGCGGCCCATAAGACAGACGCAGTCGTGCGGGGAAAGTTATAGCAACAATATGGCTTCTCCTGAGCTTTGCTAATAGAGAGGAGGGATGGTCTAGTGCAGAGTTGGGCAAACTACGGCCCGCGGCCCACATCTGGCTAGCTCCCGGCCCCTCCCCTGCTGTCCCTCCTCCCCCACAGCCTCAGCTCGCCATGCCGCCAGCGCTCTGGGCAGCGGGGCTGCGAGCTCCTGCTGGGCAGTGCGGCGGCGTGGCTGGCTCCGGCCAGGCTGCGAGCTCCTGCTGCTCTGAGCGGCATGGTAAGGGGGCAGGAAGGGGGGGTGAGGGTTGGATAACGGGCAGGGGGTCCCAGGGGCACTCAGGGGACAGGGGGCGATTGGATGGTGCGGAGCGGGCGGTCAGGGGACGGAGGAGGTTGGATAGGCGTGGGAGTCCCAGAGGGCCTGTCAGAGGGCAGGTGTGTGGATAGGGGTTGGGGCAGTCATGGGACAGGGAGCGGGGGGGTTAGATAGGGCATGGGGTCCCGGGGGGGGGGGGGGAGCGGTTGGGGGAAGGGGGGTCCCAGGAGGGGGTGGTCAGGGGACCACCAGGGGAGTTGGAATGGGTCGGAGGTTCCGAGGGAGGCAGTCAGGGGGCAGGAAATGGGAGGGGACAGCGGCCAGGCTGTTTGGTGAGGCACAGCCTTCCCTACCCGGCTCTCCATACAGTTTTGCAACCCCGATGTGGCCCTCGGGCCAAAAAGTTTGCCCACCCCTGGTCTAGCGGTTAGGGAGCTAGCTGAGAGACCAGGGTTCAATCCCCTCTTCCGGCACAGATTCACTGTTTGTGGCCTGGACAAGTCACTTAGGTCTAACCCCTAGCCCTAACCCCCAGTGTAGACACTACTAGGTAGATGGAAGAATTCTGTAGTTAGTCCATCTCTCGGAGAGATGGACTAACTACAGTGATGGAAAAACCCCTTCCATTGATGCAGGAAGTGTCTACACAACAGTGATACAGGAGCACAGCTGCAGCACTGTAGCTGCGATGCACTAGCGTAGACACGCCCTTCGTGTCTGTGTCTCAGTTCCCTGTCTGTAGCGTGGGAATAACAGCACAGCCCCACTTCACGGGGGGTTGGGAGGATAAATAACTTTAAAGAATAAGAGGTGCTCAGACACTACAGTAATTAAAGTACCTTAGATGGAGAGAAAAGGTACTTTTAACCTTCATACCTGCAACCACAAAGGTTTAAATCTCCTCTCGGTGAACTTGCCTAATTGGCATTAACAATTATATCCCCAAATCCATAACAGCACTCATCTATCACAGTGGTTCTCAACCTGTTGTCTGTGGAGCTCTGGGAGTCTGCAGACCATGTCTAAGATTTCCAAAGGGGTCTGCACCTCCATTCAAATTTTTGTAGCGGTCCGCAAATGAAAGAAGGTTGAGAACCACTGATCTACCGGACACAAGCAGAGACTAACCTCACAACTTCCACTTCTTTATTAAGGGGCTTCCTTGAAGTTCTCCTTGTCAATATCACTCCAGAGTCACAATAACTGTTTGTTTTACTCTGGGGAGATGAGTGTGTTAATAAGTGTTCTATAACTGTCACTGCTATCAGTTGATATAAATAGGTCCTGTTTTAATTTTGCACCCATTTTCCCTTATTTTAGGTACAGCATTTAAATGCCTTGCAATACACAACTTACAAATTGATTACAAATATATATATTACCAATTGACCTCACACATTCAGGAGCATGTACAATACCTGGAATCATCTGTCACTTCTTCAATAAAGCCAGATTCACATCTGGGGCAAATGTACTCCTGCAAAGAGAGAAAAGGGAAGTCTTTAGCCACATGACGCTCAGTTTGCAGATGCAGGCAAGAAATACAGTGCCCAAGGTGAAGCTCAGAGGCATCGCATGTGTGATTCTGACATTGATTCTGAATTTTTGTTTCCCCTGCAATAAAAATACAGACTTTGCACCTCCGTGACATCTTTTATCAGAAGATCTCAAAGCACTTTAAAAAGGGCGGGTATTATTCCCGTTTTATAACCGAGGGGCCGAGAGGTGCCTTTCCCAAGGTCACACAAAGTCAGTGGCAAATTGGAAAAAAATCAAACCCTCTGTTTCCTGACTCCCAACCCCTTGCTCTAACCAGCAGACTGTGCTACCTTCCTCTCAGTTTAGGCTTGACGTTCTTGAAGTCCTTTACAAGCTATGCTTTATATTTGTGAAAGCAGCTCCCAGCTGAGATCGGGGGGAAAAAACTCAATAGTTAAAGAGATTCAACATCCATCTCACTTCACACTGTATGCTATTAGAACAGGAAGAATTGGAAGGAGCTAGACTGATTGTCCCTACTTGTTTAGGTCCTTTGGTTATGTCCCTCATGTGATCCATTTTATTCATCCATCAAGTGACTAGAATATCTAAGGCACAAAGGTGCTAGGATTGGGTGTAAAATGCTTAGACAGTCTCAGATTAATCGACATTCGGGAAGGGCAAAGTAGATTATAATAAACGATCGGGTGGAGAGGTACACTGGGCTAGTTTAACTGGAAAGCAGATTTTCTGCTCCTGACAGAGCAAATCCACAGCTCAGCATTGGTATCTCCGTGGTGTTGGATGCTCTGCCACAACCCGCCTGAACACGGTCTTTATCTATCAGCAGCAAACCAGCCTGGATAACTCCATTTAAGAAGAGTGCCGTTTAGAAGCCTACCGAGAAGCGCTGGGAACTTTGATAACAGGCCTCGGAGGAGGACGGCTTCCACTGCCAATTGACGGCGATGGCGACAGAAGAAAAGCCACTTCAATTAAAGGAGGTGCCAGAAAGCAGCTATTTCAAACGCAGCTCTGACGCTGCGCTGGCCCTCCTGTAGTGAGCACTGCAGGAATTTACAGGCTCGTCACTCTGTAATTATCAAAGTCAGAGCATAAACGGCTTTGTCATCTCTTTTTAAAGCCACTTTCATAGAAGGAGATAAGAGAAATGAGCTGGATTCACTCAGTCCGCCGACCAGATACCAGCTCTGCCTGGTATTCTGTTTTCTCACTGACTACGCTGTCCCTTTACAAGCCTGAATTATTCAGACTGGAAATTTTTTAAATGCACGGCCTCACGTCCGTCTCCTGCGGCATGTTGCCCTGTTCCCTTACCTGAATGGCCACACAGAGCTATACTCCTTTAAACCCCCAAAATATTAACCACGGGACTCATGCATCCACCTTTCCTACACCAAGCTCAACCATGACATGAATTCAGAGGTTCCCCAGTCATATGAATTTAGGCAAACGCCCTGCTAGGGATATCAATATAAAGTTAATGGATGCATCCGTTATAGGAAAGAGATTTTAAAAAGCAGGTTTTCGGTTATGTGCTGGAAGAAACAGGAAGCTCAACTTATATCGTTTATCCAGGTAGCTGGAGTTCCTCTAATGACTGGGTAGATGTGCTCCCCATTTTGGGAGCCCTGAGGAGAGTGCATGATCTAAAAGGAAGGATGCTCCTGCGATTACCGCATGCAAAGGAGAGGCAAATCTAGGTTCCCAGCTGTGGCATGGGCTTGAGAGACTCGGAGCAAAACATTTCCATTCCCTGGGCATCAGTGTCCCCATCTGTAAAATGGAGACCATATTGCCCCCTATTTCTCTGGGGTGAGGAGGTTATGAGGTTTAATTCATTAATGTTTGTGATGGGGGGAGGAATAGCTCAGTGGTTTGAGCATTGGCCTACTAAACCCAGGGTTGTGAGTTCAATCCTTGAGGGGGCCACTTAGGGATCTGGGGCAAAATCAGTACTTGGTCCTGCTAGTGAAGGCAGGGGGCTGGACTCTATGACCTTTCAAGGTCCCTTCCAGTCCTAGGAGATGGGATATCTCCATTATTTTTATTTATTTTATTTATAAAGCTCTTTGAGATCCTAGCATGGAAGGTGCTTCAGAAAGGTAAGGCTGACCTAAAAAATTAAGGGGGCAAAAGGAATCAGGGATCTAATTCCCACTGACTTTCAACCTTAGGCCCCTTTGAAAATACTCACCCTAATTGATGAAAAATCCCTCAGCCACCATGATTTTCCACGACTTCCTGCCTCAAGCTATGCTTGATCATGGACCCAGTCCTGCAAACCTTCCCTTCAACGGACGCGAGAGATCTCACTAAGCGCTGCTTGGTGTCCACCCTGCATTTCCGGAGCGAGAGGCTAGCAAAAACAAATACGCTCCAATGCCTATTGCCTGTATCGGGACCCCTCATCACCAGGCTTCAGGCAAGGGTATGGCAGTGACACAACACATGTTGCCTTGGTGGATACCCTCCTGCTGTCTGTATTAGGGTGACCAGATGAGAGGAAGAAAATATCGGGGACCCGGGGGGGGGGGGCGGCCCTGCCGACCCTGCCTCCGGCGGAGAAAACAAAACAAACAAACAAACAAACTGCCGGCGGAGCAAATTATCGTGACAAATTGCGTCCCGACCGATCTCTGGGGACAAATTATCGGAACAAACACCGAAAAAATCGGTCCCTAGTCTGTATAGACCCATGCTCACCCTGCTGGACTTTCCTGAAGTATCTGACCCTGCTGAACACCAACTACTCCCATCCTGCCTGCAGGGATGAATAGAGACGTCCCAAAATGGGGGTTCTCAGATCGAACCCCCACCGGCTCATTATGGGAAAGTGTTTCTCCACTTCCAGTCATGATTTGTGGAGTTCTGTACTCTCCCGCATCTTATCCAGCGGGCATGCAAAGCTTGTAGACGGCACAGGCTGCAGCAGCACGTAAACACCCTTTACGCCCAGCAGACAGAGCATTTCCGCGGCTTTCGCAATACCCCGCTGAAGATCAGCAACGAGGAACTTTCAGGGGGGAACCCAGGCAAGACTCTGGTGATGGAAAGGAAAGTGATTCAAAGAACCTGCCTCCTCTATAAACAACCTCACTTCCAGTGATGGCATCTGCCCTGAGAAGGTGAAGACACCTGCTAGCATCGGTGACTGGCCAGAAGATCACACTCTATACCAACACACACGGCAATCCATGCATTTGTGAATAGAAGGTAAACACAATGAGGATCTAGCCCGGAAGATGCCACCTGGTGTAACTCGACACTGCTATGGAGCCGCACTGATTTACAACAATTGAGGATCTAGTGGTCCCTTAAGCCCAACACTTTAAAAAAAAAATGCAGAGGTCAGCAAATAGAAGCTATCTGTCAATGCTAATACAATGTGATTTCAAATATTTCACTGACCCTACATACAGCAATGCCCCCTAACACACACAGCCTCCACCAAACGCTGACTTCCCCAAATATCAGCACACATTAAGGCCCCTTGTATGCATGGTCTGAAAACCTTGTGCAAGCGGTTGTACTTTGGTATTCACCTTCAATCTGAAACCCCCTTGGACACGTACCCAGACTCTGTTTGCGATGTCAGATAGTGAGGGCGGGGGAAAACTGCTGTGTCAGGACAAGGGAGGGGAAGTTCTGAAACAGTTTAATATGATACATTATACTCCAAGAGAGCTCTCAGCCAGTCTAAACGCAGCTCACTCTGCAATTTGCGACTAACATCCGTCGGATTTGATGGATGAAGGCTTGTCACAATATCACAATCTAGCCTCTTGGCTGAGGCATGCCATTTGTACATGAACCGGGACTGGCGTTTTGGCCCTGATTCTGAAAGCTGTCCCATGCAGGTGTATTCTTTTGCCCTTGCGGAAGGGCACTGGCGTTAATGGGGCTCTCTCGCGGGGGCAAGACTCCACTCCATGAAGAACAGCGAGCTCCATCGGGGTCTCTTTACAAATCAATCCATTCTATTTCAAAGACATTAGAACACACTTTTTTTAAAAACACGTATTTAAGTACAGTTCTGTAACGTGAATCGAGCACTTGCGACGGCTGCTGCATCGACAGCCCCAGAGACGGACAGAGAGATCCGGCGCAGACAGCGGCTTCCTCCACGCTGACCCAAGTCTCACATTTGACATGGTAGGAGCCTCCTCTGGAGACAGGATCAGGTTTCCAGTTCTTAGCCTCTCCTCCAAGACTGCCAATTAGGGATGGGATTTTCAAGGCTTAAGGGAGTCAGGCGCCCAGCGTCTGTTGATGGTCAAGGAAAGCTAAGCATCTAAGTCATTAGACCCCTTTAAATATCCCAGCCTTGGGTGCCAGTTTGTGCCAGCGTTTTTTGTCCTTTAGACATTTGGTGGTCATAGTCCAGGATTCTAATTTCCAAGTTTACCCCAGATGGGCTAAGGAACAACCTTGGAATGTTTTCTACATTTTAAAACTCACTTTAAATAACCGAGAGCATTTCAACGCTGTGGCAAAACCTGGCTCCCATGAGGGCAAGCTAATCAGCTGTTTACCCTGAGGAAAAACAGGCAATGACCTCATAAAACAGCCTAAGCTACTGTTTATCCCTTAAATAACGGGGTAAAAATTTGGCTGCCAGCTTAAACATTCTGGGATCTGCTCTTACACTAGGTTGTGGGGAATTCCTTTCTCCAATCCCCATCAGAATACTGATGAGAGAACGGAAAGCATTTAAGAGATTCCCCCTACCAATTCCTGGTCTTAAAAAGCTTATTTAGAAAGTGGCCTAGTTCTGCTCCAGCATCATAAATCTGCTTCAGTTTATGGCAGACATCACCAAAAAACACGCAGTCTCTGATGATTATTTTTCCTCTGCCCCCACCATGCTGAAGAGTGATTTAATCAGGAACATTTCCAGGACTCAGGAATAGAATTTCAAGCTTGAATTTGGCAGCATATAGTCATCCATATTCTTGAGCCCCATGTGTATCCAGG